TGCGGCCCGGGAGGAGGGGACAAGCCGCCCGCCCGCGGTCCTGGGCACCAGCGGCTGGGGCTGCGGCTCAGGAGAGGGACAAGCCACCCGCCCCGAGGTCTCAGGTGCTAGCGGGTGCACCTGCAGCCCAGGAGAGGGACAAGCTGCCCGCCCCATGGTGCCCGGCGCCAGCGCCTGTGGCTGCGGCTCAGGCAAAGCTGCCCGTTCACAGTCCCCTGCGGCTGCGGCCGGCCCGGGCGAAGCTGGCCCAGGTCCTGGGTGCCTGTGACCAGCCGGAGGAGGGAATCCTGGGTCCTGGGTTCAGGGCAAGGCAGAGGCGGTTAGAGGCGATCAGGCCAGCAGGGGAGCAGTCAGGGGCGATCAGGCTGGTAGGGGAGCAGTTAGGGACGATCAGGTAGGCAGGCAGAGGTGGTTAGGGTGATCAGGTAGGCAGGCAGAGGGGTTAGGTGCAATCAGGCAGGCGAGCAGTTAGGAGCCAGCAGTCCCGGATTGCGAGAGGCAGTCGAACATTCCCCAAGGGGTCCCAAATTGGAGAGGATACAGGCTGGGCTGAGGGACCCCACCCCACCCACCCCCTGTGCACGAATTTCGTGCACTGGGCCTCTAGTATATTGATAAAAGATCTTTAAGCCTTTAAGAATATATTGAGTATTCTACAATAAAGAACGTATAGCAGAGTAAGTCAAATATATACTGACGTGGGGAAATCATTGTAAAACATACTTTTGTAATTAGATAAAAGGTAGCAGCTTATTTAATATTTCTTTCTCCAAGTTTAACTATACTTAAAATGTTCACAGAAAGATATAAGCCACATCTATAAAATACTATTTTCTCCATACAATGTATTATGATAGTTTAGAAGTCAGAATTCATTGATCTTTGAATATCAATAGCCTTTGGCACTAATAAGAAGAAAAGTTAAATTCTAGAGATCCTTTAGAAGATTATGGTATTACAAAAAGATGTGTGCCAGTTTTATTTTATAATATGGAATTTTTTAAAATTTGAGAAATTTTATTTTCATTTGCATAAATTTTAGTAAAATAATAATATCACTTAAAGTGTTTAGTCTCTCATTCACAGTTTTCCCACTCTGCAGAATTCTGAACAGGCTTTCATATCGTTCATTTGGCCATCAGACATAATAGCAATTGCTGCCATCGATGTGTTTGAACTAAGCACTTGTTTTTTTAGCTCACAATAATCCAGTGAGGCACACATTCTTATTCCCATTTTCCAGATACAGAAATTAAGGCAGCATGTTTCGCTTGCTTTCCCAAGATCACAGTCAGGACAGTCAGAATACCATGGGCCAGATGAGATCCCCACTCTCCCTGCCCACCCACAGTATAACTGAGTGGGGCAGCACAGCCAATGACCTACCTGATACTCAACCCCTCTTCTTCCTTACTAACAAAACCCCAATTTTATTTGAGTAGCAACATACATGTTTAAAAATCCTTAATTTCACTGAAGTCTCTTTAGGGGAGGTGCCTGTATGTAATAGGTTATGGCCAAACCTGGAGAGGGAATTCCTTCCCAGATGAAAAGTTCCCTTGGAGAAAATCCTCAGACCCTACATTATTCCCAAGAATTGGGCCTGGAGAATTCGGCTTCTACCTCTTAACCACAAGAACAACCCCACACTAATGCTACAGAATTCAGAAAGAGCCTGGCTCCCTGGACTTCTTGTGACAGAAGATAAATTCAACCCCATTTCTTCAAACACTCTAATATAGTTCCCTACTATTTGTAACTGAAAGCCTTCCCTAAATAACTTATCAAGTAAGAATTTCATTGCCTGAAGTAGGACATAATTTTATTTCACAAATCAGACATTGTTTAAAACCTTGGAGCTATGAGTCTGAGCTAACCTACTGGGCTCTGTCAATGAGTAAACCCAGAAAGGGCACAAAAAATTTTAATGATTACCTATAGGAGGCAGGACAAATGGGGCAGATAGTGCCAAAGGTGAGAGACAGATTTCTCAAAAAACACCTGATTACATTGTTGGGATGTTTTTAAAGCATGAATATATAGTCTATTCAAACTATGTAAATAATGTTTTATAAGAGAGAAAATAAATCAAGGAAGAATATATTATCCTTATACTTTTCTGTCAAGAAATCAACAAAATATTACCTTTTTTGGGACTAGCAAACAATTCAAGGTGCTTCTCTGTAATAGTCTTCTTTTCAGCTGCTAATGACTGTAGGCAGATAATAAAAATACTATTAACAACAACAATGTAGTAATTTATGTGATAAGGGCTAAAAATCAACAATATTTTGTAAAATATTCAAAACCTTAAGTACATCCTCCTTAACGTATTCCTCTCTGTTTTCCTTTATTTATACTTACCAATAATTATTCCCAAAGTACATACTCTTCATATACTTATAAATGTGTTTTTATATTTTTCCTGAATCTAAACAGAAAACTGTCTAACATTTAGTTTATAATAGTATTGCTCCATATTGTATTTCAAAGTTACATTTACAAAAAATAACTTGAATATCTCATTATATATCTGAATATATAAGCATTGCATAATTATACTTCTTGTAAAGAGGATGCTCAGTGCTCTTCTGAAAATGTTCTTCTCAGAAAATTCTCAGTAGGTATCCTTTGTATACATAAAAAAAAGTATAAAGGTTTTGCATGGCATAAAGAGGTGAATACTAACATGCCATAACTATTAAAGGAATTCAAGGATGAGAAAAAAAATGTAATATGGTTTCCTACTATATCATGACAGTATTTTCAAAGAAAATAAGAAAAGGAACTCCAAAGAAATAAAAGTACAGTGGCTTGAACACTCAGATCAAAACAATTTTACTATAGTAAACCCTCAATGTTGCAGTCTTCAATTTAACAGAATTTGGATTTAATGAACAAACTTCCGGTCTGGATGTTGTTTTAAAACACCCTGTTAATTTCAAACTGCTTTTAACCAACATTTGCTTATAATTAACAGTTGTTTTTTTAATTCACTATTATTTTTAACAAATTTTAGTGAATAGGCTATATTTGGGGAAAAAACACTATAGTAATTTTGCCAACACAAATAAAGACTACATTATCTACAAATATAGTCTACACTAGAGGCCCAGTGCTCAAAATTTTGTGCACTGGGGGGGTGGGGGGGGTATCCCTCAGCCCGGCCTGCGCCCTCTTGCAGTCCAGGGCCCCTCACTCTTTACAGCCCACCTGCAGCGGAGACGGGAGAGGTTCCCGCCACCGCCGCTGAGCTCGCCAAACTGAGAGCCCGGCTTCTGCTGAGCGGCGCTCCCCCTGTGGGGAGTGCACTGACCACCAGGGGGCAGCTCCTGCATTGAAGAATCTGCCCCCTGGTGGTCAGTGTGCATCATAGCGACCAGT